GCGAACGCCTCAGCGACCTCGTTCACCGCCGACCTCAAAAGCACGGGCATCAGTCCCCTGGTCACAACCAGGCCTCCGGCTGCTCTGTAGCTGGTCTGCTGGTCTCTCCTTCTCTTGATGATGCTGCTGATGATGGTGATGATCGTAGCGATGCTGGTGGTGATGCTGTCAATGGCAGCGGCAAGGCCCTAGACAGCGCCGATGCTGATCACGCCGATAATGACAATGGTGTCCACGTGTCGTTTATGAAGGTCTTGGAGGAACTTCGACATGCGCGCGCAGCCGACGTTCGCGAGTGGCCCGCAGGGTCGTATTCGGCAGGGGTCGTGACCCCCCCAGAACTCGCGCAAGGACGTTCGCATGATTTCGACATGCGCGTACGAGAGGCCGCTTGGTCGCAGTTGATGAACATGTTGAAAACCAACGGTTTTCTAAAGGAATCGCAAAAGCAAGCGAGGAGATTGTTCAAAAAAACCCTGGTGCAACATTATTGTTTTCTCTGTGTTTCTCTACACTCGAAACTGAAACCCGTACGGAACCTGAGGTGTATGAAGGATTTCGGCATGCGCGCGAGAGGACGAGGGCGTGCAGTTCGTCCCATCTGTTTCAAAAGGTTGTATGCAAATTGATGATTTGTGATGAAAGAACGCGCGCGCATGCTATCATTTGACAAGGATGACGGGAAGGGGGTCGATACCGGCCTGGCTGGGATGGGACGGATTCAGATGTAAAATGAATAATAAGGCGGATTCGTATGTAGGTCGCACGTCCTCGAAGCAGTTGAGCCCCGCTTCGAGAGGGTTGTGGACCCGATTTGTTTAACTAAAAAAGGAGAATCAATGTGGTGCAATAGATGTTGTACAATATATCTGGTGCGCAGTATATGTGGTAATCTATGTGGTGCGCCCTATCATGTGCAGTGTATGTGGGGCTGTATACATTGTGCAATCGATGTAGGGCGGCGACGCGGCGGCGACAGCAGCAACAAGCGCGGCGACCGACAGACAGACCCGGACGACGGGCGGCGATGCGACGGCGGCAACAAGCGCGGCGACCGACAGACAGACCCAGACTACGGGCGGCGACATGGCGGCGACGGCGGCAAGAAGCGCGGCGACCGACAGACAGGCCCAGACGACAGGCGGCGACGAGGCGGCGACGGCGGCAACATAGCCGCCAGACCGACAGACATGCCCAATTCCTGAGAAAAGAAATGAACCCTCCTAAATGCAAGCACTGTTTGGGGAATTGCGCCCACACCATCGCGATGCATCACCCATGGCATTAGGGCACCGCCCACAAGTTGCTTCCGCAGGCCCCTGCCAGGACTACCACCCGCAATTCGCCGCAGATGTTCACCCTATAGGTTCTTCCCGTGAGATCCCCCTAGGTTGCTCCAAAGTTCCTACCATAGCTTCCTCTCATAGGTCCTATCAACCCTCTTGGCGAAGGTGGTATAACGCGTTGTGGCAGATGGCCCTTCTTGATCCGAGATAGTCCCAAGAGCGCCCCGAATGCTGCAAGCTGGCCACCAAGATGGCTCAAGACAACTCACGATGGCTCAATATAGCGTCCGACATGCCTTCAAGAGCTACAAGACCGCTCCAAGATGGTTCAAAATCTCTCCGAGCCTTCCGAAGCACCCTCCATGAGGCCGAAACCCTTCAACAACCTAAGGAACATCAATGATGCTGGCCGTCTCGCCTTCTGGCTTCCGATGGGCGTTTGAGGTCTCACGATGGCCATAGGATGGCACAAGAGAGCACCAAGAGGGCCCCAATACGGGCTCAGGAGCACCCAAAGGAGCCCCAAGTGGGCTTCAAGAGGGGGTCGCTTTCAGCCTCCGAGGGGGAACTGGAAGTTAGGGCCCCACGAGGCATCCCAGGCGCCGCCAGAGAGCCCCAAGAGAGCCGCAACAACTTCCAACATTTCACCGAAATGGTTCTAAGAGGCCTCCACTACGTGTCCAAAATGCTCGCGGATTGAAAACAGCGCGACAACTTCATGGTTGACTCGTCATTATCGTCGTCGCCTTCATCATCGCCTCCCTCTTCCTCTGCCATCCGGCTATTGGTTTTTTCTCTTCCTCTCCTCCTCCCGCTTAATTCCCCCCCCCCCCCCCTTCCTGCTTCGATCGCAAAGACAGAGACATCCCAGACCCGAGAGGGACCCAAGATACCTTCAAGAGCCCCCCCCAGAGGAATCCAATGACGCCGCCGTGGCATGGGAAAATTGTTACATCACTCGGCGCATTTCCCGCCGGTATGCACCCCCGACACGTTTTCAAGCCGGCTGTCCAACTGCATGCGCCTACTTTTCCCTGATCAACGCAACCCGCCTGGCGATCGTTTCTGGATGGGCTGGTGGGGATACGCGAAGAATCAATCGTTCCTCGCACCAATCCCTCCCATGGGTTCCTCCCGTAAGTTCTTCTCGTAGGCCGCTTGCAAGCAACTCCTCCCATGGATTCACACCATACGTTTCTCGCATGGCGTCCTCCCACAAGTTCATACCATCTACTCATCTGATCGATTAATCCCACAGGTTCCTCCCACATGTTATCCCCATTTGACTTCACCGCAAACTCCTCCTAAAAATCCTTCCTCCCGCAAATTCATCTCATCTGTTCCTCTGATCGGTTCTTCCCACAACTTCCTCCATGGGCTTCTCTTATACGATAGTATCGTAGGTTCTCCCCACATGCTACGCCCATCGGGTCCTCCCATCAATTCCTCCCATCGGTTCCTCCCGTAATGACCTTCAAGAGGTTCCTCATCGGGTCCTTCAATTGGTTCCTCCCGGACCGTCCTTCTAGAGGTTGGTTCCTTCCATTGGTTCTCCCACAGATTCCGCCCCATAGGTTCCGGGCCCCTGTAGGTTCCTCCCCCGTAGGCTTCCCCCCGCGGGTTCCCCCCCCCACGTGCTCCCGCCATACATTGTTCCTCTCGGTTCCTCCGATACCACCTCCACTCAGGCTCCCCGCATTGGTTTCTCCCCTACCTTCCCCCCATCTGCTCCCTTCCATGGGTTCTTGCCATGCAGGAGGAGGAGGAGCAGGAGGAGAAGGACGAGGAGGAAAGGGAGGAGAAGGACGAGGAGGAGGAGGGGTAGGGCGGGCAGGCTGTGTGTGCTGCGGACGGCCCCCTCCGAATTCGAGGCCAGCACTCGGACTCACTCACATTAGGCCCGCGCGCGCTCAGAGCCGGGTACAAACTTAGACGCGCTCGCATTTGCATTTAGTCGCGCTCAGATTTGCTCTCACTTAGATTTGCAGACATTCAGGCTTCTCGCTCATACTCGCACACGCTCACCAACGACCACCGCGATGTTGCAGAAAAAAGCATCTGGGCACCCCAGGGAGAGCCACGGGAGGCCAGGTGGTAGGACACCTGCCCGTTCGCGCTCTGGCCGTTAGATTGTCTCGAGCGAAGCTTGTGGACTTGTCTCGAGCGAAGCTTGTTTTGAAATGTGGACTTGTCTTGTTTTCATCAAGGCTGTATGATCATCGCAATGTGACGGGCCCAACCTTTGAAAGCCCCGTATGAACCTGTGCGCTGCACATGCACAACATGTAGAGCATGATGGATCGTGAATGGGACTGGTGTTTGTCTTAACGTTAACTGTACAGCGTGTGCTCGAAATCTCCGAGGCTTTGGAAAACCATGAACGTATATTGTTTTGCCGTCTTGTAACCAGCTGGACCATTGGGCCAGAGGCGTGCTAAGACCTCCGGCAACATAATTAAGTACTTCTAGTTCGCGCGTGCGGGGCCGCCCCTGAGGGTCCCCGGACAAAGAGTACCCCGGCAGGTCCCCTGGGCGCGGCTTTCAGGCGTCCCAGAGCGCTCCAAGTGGGCCCAACGAGGCGCCCAAGATGATCCAAGATGGCTTCCAGACGGCCCACGGAGCCTCCAAGACGCCCTAAATCATTGATTTTCCATTGGTCTTGGATGAGTATTGGCGTTCTCGCCTTTTCAGCTTTCCGACGCTCCCAGACGGCCTAAGAGGCCTCCAGGACCGCCCCAAGCCAGCCCAAGAGGTTGCCAAGAGAGCCCCAGAACGGCCCAAGAGGGCCCCCAGACTGCCCAAGAGGCCTACAAGACGGTCCAAGAAGCCCCCAAGATGGCTCCAACCCGAACATCCTGCCGAACACAATGCCTCACAAAAAATAGTACCCGCCCCCGCAGCTCCGCAATGCAAGCGACCACTCGGCTGGCCGACAGCTTTGCGACAATATGGGCTGGGGGAATGAGCGAAGCGATTAAATAACAGTATTAAGCAAGAGGGAAAACAAAAGATCGTAGTTCGAGAACGGGTGCCATGTTGAACACAGCTAGTGCCAAACATATCGCCCCCACCTCCAAACACAATTCCGAAATATGTGAAGCGCCTTCATTTCGCTACCTTAACCGCATGCAACCAATGCTTGATGTTCGCTGTCCCCCTGTCGAAGCTATTGCAAAGTGTGAATCAATTATTGTGAATCCGTTACATGGATGGCGTGCGGCTCCTTTTCAACGCGGAGCTGTTGCTGGGTACTCCCTTCTCCTTTATGGCTCCGAACTGCCGTCTTCCCTGCAGCTCGAAGCACGGATGGCTCTTTCTCTCAAAACGGAGCTCCCGCCAGAATTGCGGGCCCATGGCGCGCCCGTAGCTCAAGGGAAGGATTTGGGATGGGAGGATGCATTGCAGTCGTTGATACGTCTTGGGTTCACTTGGGCCCTCCTCCTCCTCCTCGTCCTCCTCCTTCCGTTCCTTCCTCTCCTGTTACATTCTCTCCATACCCCCCTTGTCGTCTCGGCCGCCGTCGCCGTCGCCGTCGCTGTCGCCGAGGTCGCCGCCGCCGCCGTCGTCGCCGTAGCCGTCGCCGTCGCCGTCGCCCTTGCCGCCGCCGCCGTCGCCGCCTTCGTCGTCGTCGTCGAGACCGTCGTCGCTACCGTCGTCGGCGGCGGCGGCGCCGTCATCGTCGTCCGCTGGCCCAACCGCTGGAGGGGGGTGCTCCAGCGTCTCCCCATCCCGCAAAGAAGCGCGTGCGGCAAGGTACACCGAAGCGTCCGCGGCGGACGGCAGCGGCGCGCTCTCCCACGTCTCCTGCCCGCGGGCGGCAAAGGGGGGGCACCTCAGAGGCCAGAGCTTCGTATCCTCCGCATGGGGAACCGATCTCCCAGGACCCCAGGGGGTCGTGTGTGCACGCGCATCCGTCACCGTGCCTTCAGCACGCAGTGGAGTGCTCCACGGCTCCTGCAGCCCTGAGAGGTCCCCGGGTTCCACATCTTTTTGTTCAGGGCATGGGACACCTTCACCCGTTTCCCAGGCGCCGCCGGGCCCTCTTGGGCGCTACTGGGCGTTCCCGGGGTGCGTCGCATGGGCCTCTGGGACCGTGACCCCGCCCAGAAGGGCCCCATGAAGAGGCGCACGCGGCTCAGGAAAGAGGCCCCAGGAGGGCCCCATGAAGCCTCCGAGGACGGCCGAAGAGCTTTTCCAAGCCTCCCAGGAGGGCCCTAAGACGCAAAAGTAGCTGATCTGCCTTAGGCCCTCGAAAGATTTCGGCGTTCGCGCCGTTCTGTTTCCCTACGCTCCAAGATGGCCCGCGAGGTTCCCAATATCGCCCCAAGACGACCGCAGAGGCCCCCGAGAGGGCCCTGTGACGGCTGAAGAATGCTCCAGGACGGCCCAAGAGGCGCTCAAGACGGCCCAAAGAGGGCCCCAAGATGGTGCCCAGATAGGGAACCCGAGCGGACATGTTCTTCCCTCGGCCCCGAGGGGCCCCCAGGAGGCCCCAAGAGGGCCCCAAGAGGCTCCATGAGGCCCTCAAGAGGACCCAAGAGGCCCCAAGACTTTGACCCACAACACAGGCACAGTGGCGGGATAGGCCGGAAGCCATTACATTGTTTTTGTTTGTTTGTGTGTGTGTGTTCTCTCTCGCTCTCTCTTGCTCTCTTTCTCTCGTTCTCTCTATATATGTATTTACATGCATCCACATGTGTATATATATAGGCAATGTACATATATGTGTGCGTGTGTGTGTGTCTATGGGATCATATGTGCATGGTGGAATGACAACAACTACAACCACGCGTGTGGACTTGACCACATCGACACGGAATCGAAATCGAATCGGGTCGGCCGCGCTAAAATGCACAACGTCGCTGTGGAATTATTTGGCTCAAGCCAACCGACACCGATGTCGCATCGGGTCGCTCGGTCGGATCGAAATGGACCGGACTTACCAGACATCTTGACTCGGAAAATCCGAGAAGTCCCGACTCTTGTCCCAAGGCCAGCGATTGTTGTTGCAGTCCTGGGGCACGAAAGCGGCTTCAAGGAAACTGAACACGGCGACATACCCGCCTGTTAGATGTTTTCAAGTCCTTGGCCCCCTTGCAGTCAAGCAGCCTCGTACCCACCCCGCGCGAAGGAGGAAGAGGAGGGAGGGGGGGATGGAGTGGAGAACGCGGGGGGAAGAGAGGAAGGATGAGATGAGGAGGAGGAGGAAGAGAAGGAGGAAGAGGAGAAAGGAGGAGGATGAGGACGAGGAAGAGACGAAGCAGACAAGGAGGAGGAGGAGGACGAGGCGGAGGAGGAGGAAGAGACAGAAGAGGGAGAAGGAAGAGGATAATGGAGAGGAGATACATCTGAAATTCCCAAATCGGCCCCGAATCCAACATTGTCCCGGGGCCCCGTGGCCTAACGGGAAGCCAACCGCGTCATTCCCGATCCCCACGGTCTCCACTTTTTAATCCAGCGGGTTGTATAGAGCACAATCGCGGCATGGCACAACGCAGTTCAGCACGGCGCAGCACAGCACAACCCTCGGCACGGTACATCAAGATCGGTACACTCACTCAGCGTTGCAACCTGGCACGTTCCTTGACACGTTCCATGGCGCATCATGTGGCGAGTCCCTCTGGCACGTCGCGCGGCGCGTCCCCTGGCACGTCCAGTGGCTCGTCCATTGGCACGTTCCGTAGCGCGTCCCCTTGGCACGTCCTGCGGTGCATCCCCGTGGCACGTCCCCTGGCGCGTCGCCTGGCGCCTCCCTTGGAACGTTCCGCGGCGCGTCTTCCTGGCATATTCCCCTGTCAATTGACTCTGGGGCAACTACTTTGTGCCCAGGCAGCTCGAGCTTGATTCAGATTAGTTCGGTCAGGACTCGGATGCAAAGAAGCTCGATCCACAACGCTATAGAGCACAATCGCGGTATGGCACATCGCACTTCAGCACGGCGCAGCACAGCACAGCCCTCGGCACGGTACATCAAGATCGATTCACTCAGCATTGCAGTTGCACGTCGCCGAATCAGGTGTCTTTGAAGCGTTGCCATGTCTTACATTTCTGAATTCCTTTCCGGGTTCGTGGGCCGATCATGCTGAATATTCCTCCTGTAGGGGGACGTGTCCGAATTAAGGGTAGCGGTCTCGGCGGTCCCTTGCCGGCCTCCGAGGGCCGGCGGCAGAGAGGGGCACGGCGGCGGCGGCGGCGCCGTCTCTCCTCGCCGGTGGCGCGCTGCCTCGACAGCGCGCCCTCGAGGTCCGCGGGCCCGCCCCGCGGAGCGCTCGGGGAGGTCCTGCGACCGCGTCTGGAATACACTCGACACGTATCTTAGCCGACGAAAAACACGTTTCCGCCGTCGGGGACGCCTGTCCCACGGCGGCTGGAAAGCTTATGCCCCGACGTGCCACCATCAAAAAAAATACTGTCAAGCCTTTCCTGGGGCAGACGTCCCAGTCGGCGGAAAAATGTACGGTATACCGTTCTTCGTCTGCCAAGTATCATAAGGATGCGCGGTGACGATGATGAGGATGCAAGGGCTTGGGACGCCACTTTCGAAGCTTGTCGGGCGGGGCGCGGCCATCGAGAGTGGCTGAGGATGGACCGAGGAGGCAAGGATGCAAGGGTACCCCTGGGAAGGGTGCCCATCGTTATTTTGCGGGTTGACTGTGCCATGTGAGACCTGCTCCAGAACAGTACCCGTTTCTCAGACCTGGCACTGCGCTGGACGCAACGTCCGCATTGTCTGTAGACGTATCCGAATGTGCATGTATGAATGTATGTATGGATGCATGCATGCATGCATACATGCATGTATGTACGCACGTACGTACGTACGTATATACGCATGTAAATATGTACGTCTGCCTGTATGGATGTATGTGAGTAGATGCAGGCATGCATGCACGTATGTATGTATGCCTGTCCATATGTATGGTCGTTCGTCCGTCGGCCCGGCCGTCCGTCACTCCACGCATGCATACACACATACACACATACATACATACACGCATACACACATCATACATATATGCATGCTTGCATGCATGCATGCATACACGCCTACACATGCGTGCATACATGCATACATTCATGTGTGTATATATATAGATACATACCTGCAACCATACATACTCACATGAATGCATGAACATATACATACATACATGCATACATGCACGCATGCTGGAATGCATGCGTGTGCACAGTCATATAACTATACGTCCATCCACACACATATATATATATATATATATATATATATATGCCAATGCACACCTCCACCAACATACACAAATGCATACACACATAACTACATACATACGTACCTATATGTACATGCATACATACACACATACATACATGCATACATACGTACATACGTACACAAATGCATGTACATTTATATACATTTACATATGCCCCCATGGTCCAGCATCTGTACACATACGTACATCGATAGGTGTAGCTATACGTATGTATATAGGTGTGTGCGGGCGGGGTTCTGAGCATAAGCTCTTCGGGAATAAGCTTTATTCCCTACCTAGGCTCTGCCTAGAAGGGTTTTTACTCGGTGTGCTTCAAAGGCCGGGCAGTGGACTACGCCCCGGGCGGTTCCCTCAGGATCCGCCCCGCGGTTCCACCAGGATCCCCCGCTTTGCCTAGCCTAGCTTAGCTAGGCCTAGCTTAGCTTAGCTTGGCCTAGCTGAGCTTGGCCTAGATTAGCTTAGCTTGGCTTAGCATAGCTTACATTAATTTAGCTTAGCGCAGCATAGCGCAGCGCAGCACTAGCACAGCACAGCATAGCCAAGCATAACATAGCACAGCATAACATCGCGCAGCATCGCATAGCATAGCATTGTTTAACATAGTACAGCGCAGTATAGCATAGCATAGCATAGCATAGCACAGCACAGTATATCATATCATCGTATATCATACCATAGCATTGCTCAGCATATCATACCATAGCATCGCCTAACATATCATAGCGCAACATCTCATATCATATCATAGCATAGCGCAGCATAGCATAGCATGGCATAGCATAGCGGAGCATATCGCAGCGCAGCAAAGCGGAGCGCAGCGTTAGCACAACATAGCATGGCATGCAAAGCAAAGCGCAGCATCGCACAGCATGCAAAGCAAAAGCAAAACCAATGCGAAGTTGTAGATGTATATGTAGATGTAAGTGTAAGTGTAGATGTGGATGTAGGTGTAGATGTAGATGTAAGTGTAGATGTATGTGTGGATGTAGATGTAGATGTGAGTCTCGCTGTTGACGTTGATGTAGATGTAGACGCAGGTGTAGATGTTAATGTAGCTGTCGGTGTAGATGTAGATGTTGCTTTCCTAGATGCTCCAACTCCTAGGTAGGGTCGCGCTGGGATAATTTATACTCCCTGTTGGCCAAAGCTGTTGACAAAGAGAGCTTAGAATCCCTCGGAAACGACGGCACCAGTGCGTGCGAGCCTCAGAACTCACCCCCCAGGCCATGGCATGAATCGCACCCTGAGTGCACCACCGTCGTCAAGCGACCGGGGTCAAAACGCTACGGGGTCCAAAGGGGGGAGGGGACTCGTACCGCACTGTGCCAAGAAAACCGAGAAGCTCTCCTAGCTCACGCGATTCTTCACAGACAAACAAGCTCAAGAGATGCCATCGGCGCACGGCACAAAACAGGGCGGCAAGTGGGAGGGCCAGAACAGCTGCCGTGCAATCGAATGCGGCCAACGAACGCTCGCCCCCCTTTGCCCACACATCAACCGTAAACGTATTTATGTGTGTGAGGGAGGGGTTCTGAGCATAAGCTCTTCGGGAATAAGCTTTAGTTATACTCCCTGTTGGCCATGGCTGTTGACAGAGCTTAGGATCCCTCGGAAACGACGGCACCAGTGCGTGCGAGCCTCAGAACTCACCCCCCAGGCCACGGCAGGAATCGCACCCTGAGTGCACCACCGTCGTCAAGAGACCAGGGTCAGAACGCTGCGGGGCCCAAAGGGGGGGGAGGAGACTCGCACCGAACTGCGCCAAGAAGACAGAGAAGCTCTCCAATCCAAAGAACACCAGGCTCCCGAAACAAAAACCTCCACTGCATTCCAAAAGATGGCTGGAAGCCGCCCAAAAGCATTCGCTACTGGCCTGGATGTTTACAGTACGCCCTGACACGGGCTACTAAAGTGTCTGACAATGTTTGGAGCCAGGATCGGGCACTCTGCTGGAGCCACATTTCAGCTAAAATTGCGGCCCCATCCTGGATATCAATCTTTGCCGTCCTCTGAGAGCTCCGGCGGCCTCTGAGCATGACCTTAGACAAGTCACCAAACTGCAGATACTCGTGGGTTGCCCCGCCCTTTCGAAGACTATAGGGGACGAGGGAGAGATGCTTGCAACCAATATGCTGCAGGCCAGTGCGAAACATTGAATGAAAAACGCGAGACGAGGCGGGCCACAGTCGGCCATCGCGTTGCAACTGCATGTGAACGACCGCTCCCACGAGCGGATCGTTCAGCGCCACCGTCTCGCGCGCACCCTTCTGACAGGCAGTCTGTGTCCAGGGTAGCGACGCGACGCCGCAGCCGCAAGGCTTCAATTGGATGACGCCGCTGGAGAGGCCGAGGGCTTCGCCTGTCCGAAGACACAGGTGGAAACCCGCCAACACTGTTGCCGCGAACGCGACCTCTCCGCGTCCCAGCGCCCAGCCGGCCAGCGCACTGCAGACCAGCGGCGGCATTGGCGGCGCACGCTGAGGAACCTCCAGGCGTCCCCAGATTGACAGCAAACGCCACGCGCCAGGGTACTGACGCCGTGTTCTCAACGCATGTTGATCCCACTGAGTGCATATTTAGCTTGACCATTGGTGGCACCCTCGGCCCAAAGATACTCGAGGTAACCTGACCGGACAAGAACGGGAAGCGTCGCTTTAGTCCACCAAGCATGTGGAAAATGCTCTGTTGTTGTTCTGCCGCGCAGGTATGCCGTGGCGCGTGTCGGCGTGCGTGCGGGGTGTGTTTTGCTGTGCTCCTGTGTGGTCTGCCGTGCTCCTGTTCTGCCGTGCTTCTGTGTTCTGCCGTGCCTCTGTGCGCTCTGCGTGTTCTGCCGTGTTCCTGTATCTGCCGTGCGGATCGTCGCGGTGGTCGTTTTGGCAGAGCTTCTGGGCGCACACGGCAGAAAAATATCAGGAGCACGGCAGAATAGGCCCCAAGAGCGAAGGAGCACGGCAGAGAAAGACAAGGAACACGGCAGAATAGACCCCAAGAGCAAATGAGTACGGCAGAATACACCCCATTAGCTAAGGAGCATGTCAGAAAATGACCAGGAGCACGGCAGAATAGACCTCAAGAGCTAAGGAGCAGGCAGAAAAAGACCAGGGGCACGGCAGATTAGGCCCCAAGAGCGAAGGAGCACGGCAGAAAAAGACCAGGAGCACGGCAGAATAGACCCCAGGAGCTGAGGAGCAGGGCTGGATATGCCTCAAGTGCGAAGGAGTACGGCAGAGAAAGACGAGGAGCACGACAGGATAGACCCCAGAAGCTAAGGAGCACGGCAGAGAATGACCAGGAGCACGGCAGAATAGGCCCCAAGAGCGAAGGAGCACGGCAGAAAAGACCAGGAGCACGGCAGATTAGGCCCCAAGAGCGAAGGAGCACGGCAGAACAAGACCAGGAGCACGGCAGAATAGACCCCAGGAGCTCAGGAGCAGGGCTGGATATGCCTCAAGTGCGAAGGAGTACGGCAGAGAAACACGAGGAGCACGGCAGGATAGACCCCAAAAGCTAAGGAGCACGGCAGAGAATGACCAGGAGCACGGCAGAATAGGCCCCAAGAGCGAAGGAGCACGTCAGAAAAAAAACAGCACGCCAGAGTAGACCCCGAGAGCTGAAGGAGTGCGGGAAAATAGACCCCAAGAGCGAAGGAGCAAACCAGAAGAAGACGAGGAGCACAGCAATATAGAACCCAAGAGACAAGGAACACGGCAGAATATGCCCCAAGTGCGAAGGAGCACGGCAGAAAAAAAGCAGGAGCACGGCAGACAAAGACCAGGAGCACAGCAGAATAGGCTCCATGAGCGAAGGAGCACGTCGGAAACAAACCAGGAGCATGGCAGAATAGACTCCAAGAGCTGCCGAGCACGGCAGAAAAAAGACTAGGAGCACGGCAGAATAGACCCCAAGAGCTAAGGAGCACGGCATGATAGGCCCCAATAGCGAAAACGACGCCAGAAAAAAGACCAGGAGCACGGCAGAAGATGCTCCAAGAGCTAAGGACGACGGCAGAAAAGACCGAACACACAGCAGAAAAGGCCCGAGGAGCCAAGGAGTACGACAGAAAAGACCAGGAGCACGGCAGAATAGGCCCGAAGAGACAAGGAGCACGGCAGAAGATGCCCCAAGTGCGAAGAAGCACGGCAGAAAATGACCAGGAGCACGGCAGAATAGACCCCCAGAGCTCAGGGGCACGGCAGAAGAAGACCAGGACCACGGCAGAATGGACCCCAGAGCTAAGGAGCACGGCCGAAAAAGACCAGGAGCACGGCAGAATAGGCCCCATGAGTGAAGGATCACGGCAGAGAAAAAACAAAGAGCACGGCAGAATAAACCCCAAGAGCTGAGGAGCACGGCAGAAGAGGCCCCAAGAGCGAAGGAGCATGACAGAAAAAAAACAGGAGCACGGCAGAATAGACCCCAAGAGCTGAGGAGCACGGCAGAATAGGCGCCAGGAAAGAAGGAGCATTGCAGAACACGACCAGTGACCAGGAGCACGGCAGAATAGACCGCGAGAGCTAAGGAGCACGGCAAGATAGATGCAATAATACAGCATAATACGCCCCAAGGAAGAAGGAGTATGCAAGATAACCACAAGGAGCACGGCAGAATAAACCCCGAAAGCGAAGGAACACGGCAGAATGTGCCCCAAGAGCTAAGGACCACGGCAGAAAACGACCAGGAGCACGGCATCATAAGCCCCAAGAACAAAGGATTGTGACAGAAACTGGCCAGGAGCATGGCAGAATAGGCTAGAAGAGCGAAGGAGCACGGCAAAAAAAACACAAGGAGCATTTCAGAATAGACCCCAAGAACGAGAGAGCACGGCAGAATAGACGTCAAGAGCGACGGAACACTTGTTTCGCCGGCCATGATCCGCCCGATTGTTTGAGGATGTATGCAGCGAGAGCGCGATTTTAAACATGAGAGGTATTGAAACCGCCACTCCAAGATATCTTTTTTTGTTAGGATGTCTCAGGCGAGACGCTAATTTTTGAACATCTGTCGAATTCGCGGGTTCCCATGTTTAAGGGATGTCTCAGGCGAAACGCTCATTTTTGATGAAACCGATGTTGTGAACATCTCATTTTTGTAAGGATGTCTCAGGCGAAATCGTCATGTTGGATCGCCTCGAGGGCGCTCCTAGGGGTCAAATTTGGGTTTGTTTGGGGCCTTTGGGGGGCCTTCTTGATGCCTTACAAAACCGTTACAGTCCGATGTTACACACATTCATTTTTTTCAGAATGTCCCTAGCAAACTCGTAATTTTTAGATGACTGGCCTAAACCATCTAGAAGCCTTTTCAGGAGCGATCCCAAGACGATGTTAAAACAGCAGTTGTCAAAACGATGTTGTTCGATTTGTTATTTTTGTTGAAGATGCCCCTAGCGAAATCACTATTTTCAGCAACTTTAAGGGCGCTCTTGGGGCCATGTTGTGGCCTTCTTTTGCTTCCTGATGCCCTCCTAAAATCATTACGATGCGATGTCGCACGCATCAATGCTTTGAGGATGTCCCTAGCGAAATCGACATTTTTTGAAGGCTGCCTTGGGCCGTCTGGAAGCCTTTTCCGAAGCAAAGTCAAAACTATGTAAGAACAACAGTTTTCAAGTCGATGCTGGTGTATGTTTTCATGTTTTGAGGATGTCCCTAGCGAAATCGCTATTTTCGGAAGTCCCCCAATCGTTCTGACAGCCATCTTGACGTGCTGTTTGGCCTCTCGTTTCCTCATCTTGAGGCACTTCGAGAACGATACCAAGACGACGTTGAGGACATCTCATTCTGTTGAGGATGTCCCTAGCGAAATGCAAAGTTTCTGCCGTGCTCTTCGTTCTGGTCCGCCGTGCTGCCGCTCGTTTTCTGAGGATGTCCCTAGCGAAATTGCAATTCTTAACATAAGAGTTAGTTAAAGACTTCAGTCGTCTTCTCATTGTTTCGAGGATGTCCCGAGCGAAACGCAAATTTTCACAGACGGCGACATTTCGCTGTCATCAACTGTTCGAAGATGTCTCGAGCGAAACGCTTGTTTTTGTTAAACGCGATGTCGCGAAGATCTCCTTGTTTTGAGGATGTCTCACGTAAAATCGCCATCCCGAGGAATCCGCTAAGCCTGGCACACCGTGCACCCCGCCACCCCCTATAGTTAAGAGACCTCTTACTGATATGAGGAGGATTCAGCCACAACGTCCAGCTCGCTTCTCGTTCCTCGAAGACGCTTCCCGTCATGCTTGACCATTGGTGGCACCCTCGGCCCAAAAATACTCGAGGTAATCCGCCGACCCCGCGTGGGTCTCTAAGCGTGTGAGATAGTTCCCCCCATGACCCCCCCCCAGGGACCCTAAACCGGAGATTTGACCCCTCCCCCTGGCCCCAGCCCACCCACCGCCGAACGCGCCATGGGGGAGCAGAGGGTCCCAAAACGGGCCAAAAGCGCACAAACGTGCCCACGCGACGGTCCAAGAAGGCCCCGAAGTCGCCGAAAGATCGAGCCAAGACGCCCAAGAAGGCATCCAGACGACCTCAGATGCCTCCAAGACGCTCCCAGATGCGTCCAGCAAGCTTCAAGATGCGCCCAAGAGGCACTCCAAGAGGACCCCAACAAGCAAAACTCATCGATGTCCTATGGGAAAACGTGCATTTTTGGTATATACGGCCTTTCGGCTGTCACGGCGTCGAAAACGGCCCTAGAAGCGTCCACGACCGCCCCAAGACGGCCCAAGAAGCGCCCAAGAGGTTCCCCAAACGGCCCAAGAGGGCGCCAAGACATCCCAAGAAGCGCTCAAGACGGCCCAAGAGGGCCCCAAGACAGCCCCAAGAGGGGGACCGCAAGCCGAAAATCCGAGCCATTCGCCCCGACAATGTCCCAGGAGGCTCCAAGAAGCTCCCAAGAGGCCCCCGAGAGAACCCCAAAAGGCTCCAAAAGGCTCCCAAGAGGGGCCCACAAGGCTCCACGAGGTCCCCCAAAAGCCCAACAGGGGCCCCGAGAGACCCCAAAACGGCTTCCAAAAGGCTTCGACCCGGCCTGCTTGGGGCGTTTTGGAGCCCTTTTGGGCCCCTTTGGCGTGTCGCAGCTCGCTTGGGAGGAGGAGTCTGAAGGCGTCAAGGAGCCCTCGGAGCTGTCCAGGGCCCACAGGACACCACCATGCCAACCTCTGGCACCGGCCAGAAAGCCCCCATATCGAAAGAGCAACAGGCGCAGCTTGGGTAGACTCCTGGGTCTGCTCAGGCTGATCACGATTTTCAGCTTGACGGATACCCCTCTCTTTGAACCGCTGCCCGTTCCTACACTAGGTCGGGCGTGTCCCCCTACAGGCGGATTTGGGAGGAAAAATGACACATAAACTATGTTTGAATGTTCCTCCTGTAGAGGGACACTTCCGGGATAGGCTGGGGGGACACGCGAAGCGTCAGTACATCTGAGGCTGCGTCGTGAGGGTGAGAACGGGAACGGGCAGAAGGAATACCCTCCCACGCCGTCCTTTTTATCTTCCTCGTCCTCCACCATTCCCTCCTCAGCTCCCTGCTCCCCTTCCGACTCCCCCCTTCCTTCATACTCCCCCCCTTCTCCTCCCTGCTCCATTCCTTCCGCCCCCCCTCCCTCGCTCCGTCTTCCCCGCCCCTCCTGCCCCCCTCTTCTCTCTCCAACTTCCTCCTCCTCCTCCTCCTCCTCCCCCTCCTCCTCTTCCTCCCCCCTCTTCCATCCCCTCCCCCTCGCCCCCCCCCCCGCCCTCCCTCGAACTCCCTCCTCGCCCTCCCCCTCCTCCCCTCCGCCCTCCCCCCCCCGCCCTCGCCCCTCGCCCCACCCCTCCGCCTACACTTCCGCCCCCACCCCTCCTCCGCCCCCCCCTCCGCCGTCGCCCTCGGGGCGCGCGCCGCACCGAGGGGCCGGCGCGACCCCCGAGGCCTGTCCTGGGGCTCGCCTTGGGCGAGGCGGCCGCCGCGGCGGCGGCCGCCTCGCCCTCCAGGTACACCGAGGCGTCGGCGGCCGAGGGGTCGGGGGTGCTCTCCTGGCGCCCCGCCCCCCAGAGGCAAAAGAAGAAGAGAAGCAAATGCATAAGCACAAACTCTTGGCGCTCCGCGCGGACTTTTTGGATCTGCGCCGGACGCCCCTCCCTGGCGCGCCGAAGAGAAGAAGAGAGGGGGGAGGCCGTCCCGCTTCCTCGGGCGCAGCCGGCGCAATGGGAGAGGCAGAGCGGGGGGCTTCAGGTACAACTCAAAAATCAAGGGCTCCCACCATCTGCCTCCACGTGTTGCGCCGTCTGAAGGATCGCGCTGAAGAGGCAGGCGCACGCACGCGCCCTACGGGCGCGCATGCTCTCTATCCTCTTCCTCCTCCACCTACTGCTCCACGTCCTATTCCTCCTGCTCGTGTTCCTCCTCCTCCTCCTCCTCCTCCTCCTCCTCCTCCTCCTCCTCCCTCTTCCTCGCCAGGGGCCGCCCTTTTAGGCAGGATGGGGAAGGAGGGCTCCTCCTCCTCCTCCTTCTGCTTCCCCAGTGCCGGGCCCTCCCTTTCAACCGCCAGCCACAAGGAAATCAAGGAACGTCGATGAGAAGCCGAAGAGGAGCCCGCTCCCCTTCATTCCTTTCCCGCTGGGGTGGCGGGGGGGCTCCAGGGGAGACGCGTGGGGAGGGGGGTCCCAGTTCAAAATGCCGCCCTCCGAGGGTTTCGGGGGGTCCCCGGGGGGGGGGGAGGGATCGCCAGCGGGGATCCCACGGGAATTCCCGCATGGCCGGCGGCACCAGCCGCAAGGCTTTCCCAAATATCGAACACCGAATGGGACGCACGAGCGAGCTCCTTGGTGGCGCGCGTCCGACCCAAACATATCCGCCGATCCGGCGTGTGAGTTTAAAGAGGAGGGGGTGACCGGGGGGGCTCTGCCGGGGTACGGGGACGGGAGGGGGGTCCGGTGGCGTGGGGGGGGGGGGTGGTCCCTTGTCCCGCCTTTGGACAGGAGAGTTGGGGGAAGAGGGGGGGGGCGGGGTCCGGTGGCCGGGGTGGTCTGCCGGGGTAAGGGGGGGGGTCTGTCGGCGTGGGTTCTGGAAGCGTGGGGGGGGGGGTCGGGTCCCCCGTCCCGCCTGTGGACAAAGGGGAATTGGGGTTTCGAAGAAGGGGTGGGGGTCCGGCGGCGTGGTCTCCGATGGCGAGGAAGAGGGGAAGGGGAGGTTCCGTGGCGTGTGAGTTTGAAAGAACCTCAGCTACAGCCTCGACGCTGAGCTTCAGCCTCTGCATGGGGGGGGTGCCGGGGTGGCTCTGCCGGGGAAGACGGGAGTGGGGGGTGTGCGCGTGTGCGCGGGGTAATGTTTGTCCGTGTACGCGAGAAGGGAATCGGCGAAAGGGAGAGAGAAGTGGAACGGGACAAAAGCAGAAATCAGAGAACAATTGGGAGGGCGAAGGCGGCGGTGAAATGCGCGTCTGTTGTGTGTGTATGTGTGGTGCGTGTATGTTTGTGCGGCGTGCGTGGTGTGTGTGTGTGTGTGTGTATGTGTGTGTGTGTTGCCTGCGTGTGCGCGTGTATGTGCCTGCCAAGGTGACGCGCGTGTGTGTGTGTGGTGTGTGTGTGTGGGTGAGAGAGTCTGCGGGTGTGTGCAGTATGTGTGTGTGCGTGTGTGTGTGTGCGTGTGTGTGCGCGTAATGTCTGCGAGCGTGTGCGTCTGTCTGCAAAATGTCGCCGCCCAATCTGGGGGGCACCCCAAGCGACCCGGATCGGCGGCACTGGCCGAAGGCCACTACACTAAAATACCCATCTTGTAGTGGATCGTTTCCCGAGCGGTGTGGCCAGAAAGCGCCCGCCACGACGCATATACTACAAGATACTTCTTGGTGCGCGCATCGCCTCGGAGGGGCGACGCACATATAGTATGACTATGTTTGGGCAACGCTGAACGAACCCTTTCACAAACCAAAGTGGGTCTTGCCCGAAAAATTAGCTGCCCCGATCTCCCATTCAAATTTCGGTGTCCGCAGCCCGTCGGCCTTGGACCATCCCACACCGATCCGACAATATTTTGTTCACTCCAGCCAGTGGCAGAGTTGAAACAGGTCCCCAAGGAGAGGTCGAAGGGTGCGGGGGGCAACTAGTGAAATGTGACGACAGCAGAGGTCGGAGTCAATTATCCTCCTCCTCCTCATCCTCCTCTTCCTCGTCCTCCTCCTCCTGTTCCTCCTCGCCCAACAGGACGCAGGACTCCTGGAATCCGCTTCGAACGAAAGTGGCACAGGCACAAGCTGAACAGATTGCGCGGAGACAGGATTTGGATTCTTCTCCTCCTCCTCCTCCTCCTCCTCCTGCTCCTCCTCCTGTTTCTCCTTTTCCTCCTCCTCCTCCCTCTCTTCCTCCTCCTCCTCCTGCTCGCCCTAACGTCCATAGGAGGAAGGAGGAACACGCAGAGGGGGCTTGCGAAAATGAGTGGATAAGGAGGTGGCGAAACTTGGGCCCCGCGTCGTGTTCTCAAGTCCCTGTCGCTGTCCCCCCCCCCGCCCTTGGCCCCGCCCAGCAGGACGAGTCCGCCTCCGCGCGGAGCTTGGACAGCCTGCTCTCCAGGTCCAGGTCCATCGCGGGGTGGGAGACGAGGGCGGAAAAAGGGCACGAGAAGGAGGGGGGAAGTGGAGGAGACGGGGACGAGGGAAAAAGGAGAAGGAGGTGGATACAGTTGATGATGAGGATGATGATGATACTGGTGGTGCTCCTGTTGTTCATGATGATGATGTCGATAATGGTCATGGTGACGATGATGATGGTAAGGATGATGGTGATGATGGTGTTTTTGATGATGATGATGATGCTGATGACGATGGTGTTGGTGATGAAAATGATGATGATGATGATGATGATGATGATGATGATGATGATGATGATGATGATGATGATGATGATGATGATGATGACGATGGTGGCGGTGATGATGATGGTGAAGATGGTGGTGATGAAGGTAACGATGATGCTGGGATGGTGCGGATGATAATGACGAGCATGTTGCTGATGATGATGATGCTGATGATGTTGGTTGTGATGGTGATGGTGTTGATGCTGATGGCGGCAATGATGGTGAAGATGATGGAGGTTATAAGGATGGTGTGGGGATTATGCTGATGATGGTGGTGGTGATGCTGATGATGGTGTTGCCAATGATGGTGACGACTCTGGTTATGGCGCTGATTCCGGTGGTGGTGTTAATAATGAGGCAGGCGATGATAATGATAAGGATGCTGATGGTGATGATGACGGTGATTAGGATGAAAGGCTGGTGATGAAACAAATGATGATGTTGCGATTGATGATGTTGTTGATGATGAGGACGGTGAGTATGATGACGACGGTGATGGGGCTGATGACGGGGGCGGATACATGGGAGGAGGAGGGGGGGGAGAGGAGGGGGAAGAGGATGAATCGGAGGAAGAGAGGGGGAAGGAGGAGGATAAAGAGGAGGAGGGGGATGATATTGACGAGGGTGAAAAGAGGGGGAGGGGGAGGAGGAGGAGGAGGAGGAGGATGAGGAGGATTTGTTCAACCGGACCTCGCGATGAGCCGAAAGCTTTGGGGTCTCACGCCAAACGCCCAGAGCGGCACGATAACCGAAGCTCCGGTGCCACTGCAAGACGCATGGCGACCTCGCCTCGGCGAGCGCCGCTTTGGGGAGGGGGCTTCGCGAGTTCCTTTCGAAGAGCCCGCTATCCCCCCCCCCCCCCCTCGCGGTTCGACCCTCGGCCCAGCCGCCAAAACAGGGCCACCGTCTGCCATGCAAGACAGAAGCCGCCGTCGTGGCTGGACAGACCTCGCCCGCGCCCTGACGCTCTCTGGGAAAATGGCGCCCCCCCTGAGCAACTGCCGCCGCGGGGGGAGAATTGCCTCCAACGCCCCGCGGCCGCGCTGGCAGGGGGAAAGTGGGCAGCGCGCAGCAGTGCAAAGGACGGCCGCTGGGGCCCGGGATCGAGCAAGCCGAGCGAGCCCAGCAACCGCGGCCCAATTGAAGCAGGGCTGCTCCAGGAGCAGCGGTCACCTCAGGAAGGGAACTGCCTCCAGCGCCCCTCGGCCGTGCTATCGCGGGGGGGCGGGCAGCGCACGCGGTGAAAAGCGCGGCCGCCGAGGGCCCCGGATCGAACCCGCCGCGCGAGGCCCCCCCGCCGACGCGGAGAGGGCGCCCCCCCTCGCGCAGCTGTCACCGCAGGGGGGGGGAATTGCACCCAGCGCCCCAGGGCCGTGCAGGCAGGAGGAATGGACGCGCGCGCAGCAATGAAAAAAGGACGGCCACGCGGGCCCCGTATCGAACCCGCCGCGCAGGCCCAGAGACCGCAAAGTAAATCGCTGACAGTACCCGATGGGGTATGAATCGCGTAAATAAGAAAACGAACATCCCCAGCATCAGTCCGAGTCAGAAGCCCCCCCCCCATCCTGCTCCAGGCCCTCGCCCCCAGAACCGTCGGACAAATCCGAAGACAGGGGGTGCGAGAACAGGCCGTCCAATCTCCGCCAGAATGACCCGCGAACGCCCAGCTGTCGGTCTTCCACGCATGAAACTCCAGCTGCACGGCTGGCCGCGCTCGATGCGGCGCACGACGGGGGCTGGGCGGCCTCGGGCCGCGCAGCACCTGGGATCATGCGGGACAGGGCGCGCTCGCGGCGGTCTCTCGACAGCGGCGCGTCGTGCGTCGCTGCCGCGGGCCCGCCGTACACAGGGAACTAACAACGCCTGGTGCGCGCGAGGTTATCCTTGCCTTTCTTCGAAGGGGGTTGGCAGGGAGACAGCAAGCGACGCGGGCCCACCACTGCAGCGTGGCCACAACGGACACAGAAAACAAGCTAGTGCCGTGGCCAAAACTGCAGCGCATGCGACGGATGAAGTTCCCCCATACACACACACACACACCGGCGCGACCTCCCAGCTCCGCCGCCCGTGTCTCATCAACGCTAACGTGCAAGACCGCTTCGCAATATGCGTGGGGCCTGCACTCGATGGCACGCGCCGCCTTGATGGTGGCCTGCTGGCACTACCGCGTAACAAGTACTACACATATTTCTCTTCGAGCCATGCAAGACAAAATAATGCTGGCTGGCAAAAAGCATATCAGTTACCGAGACTCTGCTCAGGCGCTTAGCCGACGCTGGGGCGCGCTCGCACTCTGCCAGATCGAGCCTCGGCCAGCGTCGCAATAGTTTGACCGCCAACTTACAAACCGCCTGAGACGCGCGGATGCAAAACTTGAGCGCTTCTTGCTCTTGCCCCGAAGCCGCGGGGTGAAGGTCGGCTCCTGCCTTCGCTGATTTGTCAGCGGAGTCGCTGCCTGGCCTGCGCAATTTCCCCCGGGGCCCCCATCCAAACTCGCCGGGGTCGAGGCGGGCCTTGATTTTGCAGCCCCCCGAAATGTTTTGAGAGCCTTGTTGAGGTAAGATCATGGAGCCAGCGCCGGGGCGCCCAGTGGGAAACTGGAGCCCGCTTGGGACCCGGGCAAGGTCGACGGCGTTTTTGCGATCGCCATGCACCGAGGACGGGCCACTCACTTCTACCCCAGCCCCCGCCAGCGCGGCGAATTCACCGCGCCGTGGCGTCTGCGGGAAAGGAGCGAAAATAAGCGCGTAAATATGCACTGCTCAGACCCGCCCTCGTCGACCAAACAAAGGCCACGCCGGGCCCTCGAAAGCTCCGAGACAGGATGTTTGAAACAGCGCCTTCCCACGACGATGGAACCGCTGAAACTGCCATCATCAGGGCGGGGGACACGCCAGACAACCTTCGCCTCGAAATCCTGGGGCCGAACCTGGGGCCGAGGAGGCGCGTCGCCAGGGCGAGCCCCCCCCCCCCCCCCTACAGACGAGGGGCCCAATCAGAGGGTCCGACGGATCAGCCGCGGCAGCGGCGTCGATGGCATCTTGGTCGATCAGCTCGGCCACGAGCTCACCATGTCAAAGACGCCCCATTGATCGCAACGATCATCGCCCAAGAGGTAGCCGGCCGGCATTTTGCCCGCAGACCATCGCAACGCAGACTACGAATCCTTCCTTTCTCCATCGGCGGCCAGCGTTTAGATCAACGCTGTCCTTTGACGCTGTCAAAACACAATCGATCGCAGGGGGGCAAAGCTCGTCGCTGGAGTCTCGCTCAAGCTGTCGGAAGACCGCGCGGCGAAGCAGGGTCTCGAGTAACGCTGAAGCCACCGCTGTAAGTTGGATGGGTTTGCCGAAGTCCGAGATGAGGGTCACGAAGTCCGACGTGCTCCAGCCTGTCCTAGCAACAGACAAACGCATGGCCGTCGAGGGCCCGCTGACTCTCCTCCACTTTGGCGCCGGCCCACTAGAAGGCCTCGTTCCAAAACTGCCTCAAGGTGGGCAGTGAGAGAGGGCGCAAGGGTACGCGTCGGCGTGAGCAGCCCAGACTTCTTTGCTGTACCTGACAGTGGAGGCCACAGAGCCAATCCAGTTGGGGTCGTCTTGGACAAGAAGGGTGGAAGCAAGGGAGCTGCCCCCTCGTTCTAGACCTCAGAGCTTTGCCAGTTTCACAACGGAGTTTCGCAAACTCGAACTCCGAGATGCCCTGCACTTCGGCTCCGTAAACAACTTCAGGCAGCGCTCCCGAGACCCAGATCCGAATTAAGAATCCGCCCAACTGGGATAAGAGCCTAATCATTTTACGAGTGGTACGCCAAAAGTGGTTCAGTATGGTTTTGAACCTCCCGCTGCGTTTTCCGATTCTCCTGGGCCTGCCAGCCGAATCATCGATCCCGAGGTTGACCGCGCTATCGATGGGCTCTCCAGCCAATGGGCCTAGGAAACTGCGGAGCTGCTCCTCCGCCCCCCTGCTGGAGGTTCCGAAACTGTCGATGCAGTAGACCCTGACATACGAAGTAGCGACGCTGCAGCCAACACTAACACCCCTTCAAAAGAAAAACGGCCCCGCCACCAGGTTCCCTATGCTCATAAATTTGGCTGAACGGTAGGCGGAGAGAGAGAGCTTGTGAACGGCAGGAGGGAACTGGAACTTGGCACAGTGAGCCTCCAACCTCTCCAGGGAGATGCCTTCGTAGAATTTCGTCATGTCCCAGAAGGAGGGTAGCAACAACTTCTCCCCTGGAGTTGGCCGCCTCGGACCTCGCCAATTGGCGCCAAACGACATCCGTGGCCCCAGAGAAGGCCTGCCCCGCCAAGTACGGCCCGGCGAAACGAACTTCCCATTGCCGGGCGTAGACACGACGGCATCTCCCCCAGAGGCGGTACAGCGAGCAGAAAATACCGATGGGTCGGTAGCCGCCGTGCGGCATCATCAGCAAGATGACTTGCACGATCTGGAGCTGCAGTGGCACGCGCGAGATGGATGCCATAATCAGCGTCATGACGGAGACTAACTCGAAGCAGCGGTCGGACATCCAAGGATAGCGTCTCATGTGGAAACCATCCAGGGCACAGGCACTCCTCGTGGAGTAGTTCCTTGATGCTTCCCACATGAAGTCAGCGCTAAGGGGGGGAAGGGTTCTTGGATGGTCTTGGACTCGACGCCCAAAGCCTGGGGTTCGGCCTCCCATGTGCCCGACAACAACGCGGCCTAACTTTTCAACAGCACCTGG